GTGTGCTAAGAGCTATAGAAATGTCCTAGAAGAGCTGAGAGGGTGGAATAAGTGACCGACCTTTCAGGACTGCCTCAGATCCTTTTTGTAAGAACAAAGGTGGTGGGGAAAGTATACAGAACATTGTACATCCTTCCCCAGGGGAATCTGGATAAGCCTTTGAGGAATTATGATGAGCCGAATCTTCAAGGATGTGCAAAAGTTGACCAGATGCAAGACATCCAGAAAGATGTCCCAGCAAGAGAGAACAATTTGGCAAGAGTTAGAGCAGTCAGCAGGTGTGGCAGGCAAATGGTGTGTAGTGAGCAGCCTTGCTGAAGGAGAAGGCTAAGCCAGGTGACCAAAGGACCTGCTGGACCATGGGCTGGCCAGTGAGCTGACTTGTATTGAGCATCTTCAGTATTGTTTTACCAGTAAGGAAACTGAGGCTCAGAATTATACTAGCTTGCCCAAATTGTACAGAAAGTGATGGGCCCAGGATTAGACCTCAGTCTGGCTTCAGATCCTTTGCTTTCTCTTGCGTTGTGCTGCTGATGAGTATGGACTTCACTCTATTGGTTGCTAATCTTTAGACTTCTTTTTTTTTTTTTAGTGGTAAAGGCCTTTTTGCAAATAAAATCTTAATCCCAAACTACTATATAAGAACAGATCAGTTCATATTTCATTAGCTTAAACTTCTTTCATATTTAAATGTGTAACTTATGAGGTCAACTGGTGAAAGCAGTGGCTTTCTTTTTAACTAAGCTCTTTCATTTTGAGATAATTTTAGACTTAACAGAAGAGTTGCAAAGACAGTATAAAGAGGTCCCACATATCCTACACCCAATTCCCCTCAGTGTTAACATCTTACAGTAGTACCTTGGGACATTTGTCCTAAGAAGCTGATATTAGAATATTACTATTAACTACAATCTATACCTTACTTGGATTTCACCAGATTTTCCACTAATGTCTTCTTTTAGGGTTCAGTTCAGGATACCACATTGCATTTAGTTGCAGCAACTTTTTTTTGTCAAACACTAAAACATGAAGCCAGGAATTGCATTATATTCTCATACGCTCAGCTTCGTGATTCACAATTAGATAGTTTCTTTCTTGAACACTTTGAAGAAACTCTACCTATATATAAGGAAGTATTAAGTCCTGGACTACAAGCTTGCAGGGTGAGTAGCCTACTACCAAAATACAATTGGTATAATTACCAGCTAATGCAGCCCAGAGAAGAATCCTAGAATGCACACACCACAAATTTGATTTAGTCTGTCTTAGCTTGGGCTGTCATACAATATGGTATTGACTAGGCAGCTTAAGCTACAGACATTTATTTTTTTCACAGTTCTAGAGGATAGAAGTCTTAGATGAAGATTCCAGCAGTTTGGTTCCTCATAAGGGCTCTCTTCCTGGCTTGTAGATGGCCGTGTCCTCACATAGCCTTTTTTCTGTGTCTGTGCAGGGTAGGGGGGAGAAGGGAGTTACCTCTCTCTATTGGATCATGACCTCATTTAACTTCAATTACCTCCTAGACTCTTCCTCCAATGTAGTGACATTGAGGGTTAGGGCTTCCCCCAAAGGAATTTGGATGGGAGAAGAAACAATTCAATCCATAGCACAGTCCAAAAGCTGAAGTGATGGGAAATTTTTACGGTTCAGTCACAAGACAGTATGGTATTGAGACTTTCTCCATTTTACACCACATGCTTATGCAGGTAAAATTGTATTATTTAGTAAAACACTTAATACTTGGAAGACAATGTTAAATATATAGGTCATATTTTAATACTCAATATTAAATAAGTTAAAGAAAAATGTAGTGTCATCTGAACAGAGGATGCAAAAGCAATGGCAAGAAAAAAATTTCAAAAGTGATTGTGTTATAAAAGCTGTTACCTAAGCTGTTTTCAGGTGGTCATTGGATTTTACATAGGTGTTAAAAAGAAATACCACATCCTTCATAATAATGCCAAGTAATGCCATACAATTATTAATTATTTGTTACTAGTGTAGGCTGTGAGTTCTAGAATATACTTTTCCATATAAAATGTTACTTACTGTATTAAAACAGGGTACAGGTACCTCACACAGAGTAAGAGGCCACTGAAATTATTTTGCTTTTGCTGACAAACTTAACTGGATAACTTTACCTCAACTAGTGCAGTTATCTCTCTTGCCTACTACCTCTCAGTTACTTAACGCAGGGTTACAGCATTACCTGTGTTACCTGTGATTGATACTACGATTCAAGGAGTCAACGGCCAGCATGAATCAAGGGCTATTCCTGTGGCTATTTTTAGTTTGGAAACAGGGTGAATGATGCTGTTAATCAAGAAAAATACAAAAAAAAAAAAAAAAGAAAAGTACAGGATTAGGAATAGATTTAAAGGGAGGAGAGAGTGAGTCTGAAGTGTCTTCAGGGCATCCAGGTAGAGATACAGTCTTCATCTTGGGAACTTTAGAGAAAGCAGGTAGCATTCTGAGATAGCTGTGAAGTCATCATTTGAAAGTAAGTTGAAGAAGGTTGCTTCTCAACCTTTTGGCTAAGATCAAGTGAAAGTAAGTTGAAGACAATTTTTCTTTTTTTTTTTATTTTTCTTTTTTTTTAATGAAAGAAAGAGAAGGTATACCACTGGATCAGTTTATTACAGACTAGAAAGATCAATAAAGGGCAGCCCTGGTGGTGCAGCGGTTTAGCGCCGCCTGCAGCCCAGGGTGTGATCCTGGAGACCTGGGATCAAGTCCCACGTCGGGCTCCCTGCATGGAGCCTGCTTCTCCCTCTGCCTGTGTCTTTGCCTCTCTCTCTCTGTGTCACTCATGAATAAATAAAATGAATGAATGAATGAATGAAAGAAGAAAGAAAAGAAAGAAGGAAGGAAGGAAAGAGAAAGAAAGAAAGAAAGGAAAGAAAGAAAGAGAAAGAAAGGGAAAGAAAGATCAATAAAGAGAAGAAATACTTTAGGTTTAAAAAACTACAGTATGAGTGACTAGTTGACTACAGTGTTCCTCTAGGAAACTGGTGATATTTTATTGGAGTATCTTGTTAATGTTCAAACGAGATTTGGTCAGTTGTGATATTTTCAATCACTAAAGTGTTGATTCTGCAATTTTACTATAATGAAATCCCATCATGAATCTACACTCAGCCCTTGGGTTCTTTGATTTATCCCAACTTTTTTTGGTAAATCATTGACTAATATAATTTTATATATTGAAAGTGTACAATGTAATGATTTGAGATACATGTACATTGTGAAATGATTGCCAATATGAAGACAGTGAGCACATCCATCACTTCACAGTTAGCTCTTTTGTGTATGTGTGGTGAGAATGCTAAAGATCTTTCGTCAGCAGATTTCAAGTGTGCAACACCCTATTATTAACTGTAGTCACATTGCTGTACCTTAGATTGTCAGGACTTATTCATCTTATAACTCAAAATATGTGCTATTTGACCTACATCTCCCCATTTCTCCTCCCTCTGGCCACTGCCATGTAAGTGACACCATACAATATTTGAGTTCCTCTGTCTGGCTTATTTTACTTAGTATAATGCCCTTCCAGGTCCATCTATGTTATCACAAATAATAATATTCCATAATGTATGTGTATATACACATTTCTTTATCTGACAAATGTGTCAATAGACACATAGGTTGTTTCCATGTCTTGTTATTCGGAATAATGCTGCATTATTCACAAAGAGCACTGATATCCCTTTTAAAGTACTGATTCCATCTCCTTGGGGTATATACCCAGAAGTGAAATTGCTGGATCAAATGGTAGTTCTATTTTTAATTTTTTGAGGGACCTCTATATTATTTTCCATCATGGCTACACCAATTTATAGTCCCCCCAACAATGTACAAGTGTTCTCTTTTCTCTACATCTTTACCAACATTTGTTGTTGTTTTTTTTTGTCTCTTTGATAATAGCCATTCTAGTAGATGTGAAACGATTTAGAAATTAAGAAAGCAATTCCACTTAACAATAGCATCAAAAACAATAAAATACTTAGGAATACACTTAACCAAGGGATGAAAGACCTGTGCACTGAAAACTATAAGACATTGATGAAAGAAATTGACAAAAGCACAAATAAATGTCAAGAGAGACACCGTGTGTTTTTGGATTGCAGGAATTTATATTGTTAAAATGCTCATACTACCCAAAGTTTTCTACAGATTCAGTGTAATCTCTATCAAATCCCAATAGTATTTTCCACAAAAAAAAAGAAAAATATATCCTAAAATTCACATGGAGGCATAAAAGCTAGCCCTGACTAGCTAAGAGCTATCTTGAGACAAGAGACCAAAAAAAAAGACAGAAGACAAAACTGGAGGCATCACATTTCTGATTTCAAACTATATTACAAAGCTATAACAATCAAAACAGTATGGTACCAACATAGAAACAGACATATAGACCAATAGAACAGAATAGACAGCTCAGAAATAACCCCATGTGTGTATGGCCAAACTAATCCTTAACAAAGGTGCCAAGAGCATACAATGGGAAAAGGACAATCTTTCCAATAAATGGTGTCGGGAAAACTGACAGCCACACGCAAAGAATGTAACTGGACCCTCATCTTACACCACACACAAAAATTAGATTGAATTAAAGACTTAAGTATAAGACCTTGGGCTCTTAAGTATATAGTTCAACTAGAATAGTAGTATCCAAAAGTACAAGTCATCCTTGAGTCTAGAGCTTCAGTTTTATTGTGTAGTAAATAGTAGTTATTTTTCAGCTGTAATGTATTTTTTCCCTGGTACTAATTCTTACCTTTCCAATTCACATTCCCATTTCTCTAGAGGCTCGTGGAAAAAGTACCAGATGTCATGGTTTTTCTGCAATCTTCAGGGAAAGAAGCTACCTCCATCCTCAGCTTGTTCCAGAAGCCCAAGCTGTTCACCAAAACTCTGCCCTCCGGGCTGCTCCCAAGCCTGCGGTAAACTCCTACAGATTGTAGGAAGGAGCTCATGGGTCTGTTCTCTGTTTGCAGGTTGTCCCCATGCTTCCCAGGCTGCTGTGTGAGGAGCTGTGCAGCCTCCATCCCATGTCTGACAAGCTGACCTTCTCTGTGATCTGGACACTAACCCCGGAGGGCAAGGTAATAATTTACACCCCTGACTATTTCATTCAGTGCATCCTGGTGCCGAGCTGGAGTCCCGTGATGGGGGGATGAGGGCACTGTAGGGGCAGTTGCCATAGAGAAGAATGGAAAAGAGCCCCCTGCCTCTGAGGAGCTGCCAGTCCATTTAGAAGGCCAGACTAACCTTAAGCATTTAGAAACAAGTTATTTGTTTCTTATCATTTATCAGGTGAAGGAAGAAATTGTGTAAACAAAGTCAAGTAGGGAGGCTCAGTGCAGGAGATAACATGTATGTGAAGGTGAATGTGGCTTGGCAGTGGCTGGAGGAACATCCTGAGCTGCAGCTAGGACAGCAGACCCTATTTTAGGGAAGACATCTAAGGAAAGGGTTGTGAGTTTGGGTAGGTGTTGGGGGGTGGGGCATCAAACTGTGAGGAGCCTCAAATGCTAGTCACAAGTGAAGTCTGCATGTTAGGGTTCTTCTGAAGTGTCATGAGAAAAGTGACATTTTAGGAAGATTAGTGCCATAGCATTGTGCCGGTGACTTGGTAGTTTGAAGATAAATTGGCACAAGGTTATGCCATAATCAAGGCCCGTGGTGATGAAGCCGTGGATCAAGAACAGAAAAGAGAAGAATGTCAGCAGGCATTCCCTAAAGATAGGGCCTAAATAAATAAATAGAAGAAAATTCCAGGAAAAACTGGTCTCCTCCCCACAAACAGAAACAACCCTAAACTTCCAAAAATAAGGCAATGATTAAGTAAGATAGAACATTCCGTAGAATGTGACGCAGTTACTAAAGCTGTGACAAGGACCATGTAAGAGCATAGGAAATGTTTATGCTGTGATATTAAATAGAAGTAAAAAGCAGATATTTAATTATAAAGCGGTTCCAAATAAAGATGGAGGATCAAATACCCACATTTACTTTCATTCCCTCCCAAAACCTCACTAAAACAACAGTGAAGAGATTTTTTTTTTTTAAGACATAAACCCACAAGGACAAAGAGAATGGGAGAGCAGACAACAGCAACAAAATTTTGGAAGCTTGGAAGCAGATGGATGAGTGGTAACTGACTTAGCAGTCCTGAGAAAGCTGAATCCTGAGCCAATAATAGAGAAAGCCAAGAAACAACCCGATTTTACGTAGCAGAACCCTAAAGAAATTCCAAAATCAATGGCACCGGGTAACTTCACAAAGTAGGGGAGAGGTGGGTGAGGAAGAAACTGACCATATTGGTTAAAAATTTGTTTAGAAAGATTGTCCCTCCCATAAGTTGAAAGAAGACCAGAAATTTATTCTCTGAACAGGTTAAAGTTCAGGATATCTGAACTAGAGGACACCAAACACACCTGATGGTAGTGGGCCTTTGGGAGAGACTTGAATGAGTGCTGGCATCCTGATTGTTGAAAATCCCAGCTTTCTTTTCCAACCAAGCCCAGAATTCTGGTTGCCAAGCCTTATACCCTTGAGTCAGGAGCTAGGAAACTTTTTTTGAAGAATCTGCCTGTGAAGAAGATTTAAAGATAAGAACCTCTGGGGCTTCTTTACCAATAGCCCAACTGTGTCTCCCTGCAGGAAAGCCTAAAAGGAGGCAACTCCGCTAACACAAGCAGAGCTTTTTAGGATTTCACCAAAAATCAGCATTTTAATATTTTACTTTCACCTATGAAGAGACAACCAAGGAGCGCCTGGCTGGCTCAGTTGGTGGAACATATAACTCTTGATCTTGGGGTGATAAGTTCAGGTCCCACACTGGGTGTAGAGATTACTTAAAAAAGAGACAACCAACACCAAAGCCTCTGCCATGAAATAGAAAAACCAAAGCAAATAAACAGAAAAAAGCAACAAGGGCATTTATATCCTTTGAGAAATTTTTAAAGAAATTATATCATAAGATCTAAATACTTTACAAAAGAAACAGGGGTGAAGAAGAAGAGCTCATGAAAATTTAAAACATGATAGGAGAAATGAAGACTTGAGACTCTGGTTGGCAGATAGAGTTGAGGAATTGTCCCAGAAAGAGATAGAATGGATAAGAAAACTGAAGGACTAGTCCAGGATATCCAATATCTATCTGTTCACTGAGCATTCCAGAAATAGAGAACAGTCGAAATGGGAAAGAAATGACCAACAAAATAATTCAAAGAAATGCCCTTTTACCAGAGGATGTGACTTTCCAGAGGGAAAGAACCAGTGCCCAGTGCTGTGGTGGATGTGCATCATCCCCAGGCCACAATGTTCTACATAGGTATAGAAGACAGTCAATCCAGATTGCAGCAGACCAGAAGGCTCTAGGAGAGATGTCTTCAAGAAAATGAAACGGAAAAAAAAAAAAAAAAAAAAAAAAAAGAAAATGAAATGGTTAAAACATCTGTGTATCTGAATTTCTTGAAAAATTATTTAGACCAGCAGTTATAGAACTTGTTGGTCCCCAGAATTCATTACACTAAAAAAAATCTTTGATGACCTCAAAGTGGTTTTGTTCATGTGAATTACCACTGTTTACCCTATTAAAAATGGAAATTAATAAAAACTTAAACATTAAAGTAATAATAATAAGCCCAATTCATTATGTTAACATAAATAACATTTTATGAAAAATAATTACATTTTCTAGAATTTAGGAGAGAAGCTTGTTTTATATTTTTGTAAATCTTTTCACATTGGTACTAAAGAAGGCATTAAACCAGTTCTCATATATGCTTCTATATTCAATCTGTTAGGGTAAGTTAATTTGGTTGAATTATAAATGTGAAGAAAATCCAGCTTCAGACAGATATGTAGGTAGAAAAGAAAGGTGTATTTTAATAGTTTTTTCAATTAATTGTGGATATTTGTCCTTGTACTACACCAGAATGTGGCAGTTTCTTAAAAATTAGTTCCAGTCTAGAATCTGAGACTGTATTTGCTACCACCTAATTCTGTACCTACAAAATTCATATGTTGAAGCTCTAACGCCTCCAATGTGTATTTGGAGGTAGAGCCTATGGGGAAATAATTAAGGTTAAATGAGCTCATAAGGGTGGGGCCTTGATCTGATAGAATTAATGTCTTTGTAAGAAGAGACCAGAGAGCTTGCTCTCTCTCCCTGTCATGTGAGGATCCAGTGAGAAGGTGATCCTCTGTAAGTCAAGAAGAGAGGCTCTCTCACTAGGAACCAAATTGGCCTTCCCAGCCTCTAGAATTGTGAGAAACCAGTGTCTGTTGTTTAAGCCCCCCTGACTAGGGTATGTTGTTATGGCAGCCCTAGTAGACTAATATAAAATCAACTGAACTTTTTTTTTACTGGGTTTCATTAAAATCTGTCTTATCCTTTAAATTTATCTTTTACCTAAACAGTGATTTTTTAAATTCACTTAGAATGTTTACATCATTTAGAAAATATTAGCTCATTATGCTGATCTTCTAAATGTGAACATATTTCATTATATATCAGATCACATGGGTTAATATCATTGCTGATCTTAGACAAGTCTTCAAGTATTAGGAAATGTGTATCACATGTCAGATACAGGTTTCCAAAATTCTAATTTTGGTGAAAGCTCACATTTTGTCACGGGCAATAAATGATGTCCGTTGTTTTCCTCGAAGTGCCAAAGAACCATAGTTTGAGTGTTACTTGTTCCTTCAAGTAAAAATGGTGTCCTATTAAAAAAAAGCAGTCAGTGTAGCTTATAGCTCAAAGTTATGTGAATGCTTTTCCTCAAGATGACCATCATACTTCAGCAAGCAGCATAAGGGAAGACAAGGACTCAAGGATTGAGACATAATAAAACTAAAAACTTTCACTGCATCATCAAGAACATTCCTAAGCTAGCTAACTTTTGTGCCTTTGAGCGAGGTGGTAAAGAGTATTCCAACCCCTGATACAGTTATACTCTACCTGATTCATGCCAAGGCAGTGGCACTTTCCCTCACCAGTGCTTTTGTTCTGCCAGGGTAAACGTCAACACATGGGAAAGGACAAAGAATGCCTTAGTATTGTTATGAAAATAGCACTGACCCCCATAGGTCCCTGAAAGGGTCTCAGGGACCCCCAGGAGGCCAAGTAAATTAAAACAAGACAGTTATTAATTCTAGTGAAAATAAACAAGTTGTATACGAAAGAAAAGTCACCCTTAGTATGTACATAACCATAATAGTTAATTCTGATAGTGATGATATAACTATTGGGAGGACGAGGGCCTGGAATGGTTGTGTGGATTTGGTTGGGGGAAGGGAGTGCATGTGGAAAGATAAATAAATTCTCTTCTTCTGTAGTGAAAGGTTTTGAATAACACCTAAAGGTGAAAAATCTAGAGGTAGTAATCAAGCAGGCAGTATAGAAAGATGGAAGTAAACACTAACAACCTGCTGGAAGAGGTTTACGCTTGGAGAAGAAAGAGACAGAGGGCTGCTGTTTTTCATAACAAGCTTTTAACACTGTTTGTCTGCTTGAACTATGGATACTTTAACTTTTCAATTTTCATTTTGAAAATTTTCAGATAAAAAAAAATTTTCAGGTATACATTAAATTAAAATAGCACAATAAAAACCCATCATCCTTATCTCCCAGATTCCACTACTGGCAACCTTTTTTTTTTTTTCCTCTTTCTAAACTATTTTAAAACAAACCAGAGACATATGTCATTTCACTCATATTCTGATATGTGACTTACAAATTTGGACATTTTCTTCTTTTTTTAAAAGATTTTATTTATTTATTTATTCATGAGAGACACACAGAGAGGCAGAGACCAAAGCAGAGGGAGAAGCAGGGTCCCTGTGGGTACCCCCATGTGGGACTCTATCCCAGGACCCCAGGACCATGACCTGAGCCAAAGGTGGGTGCTCAACCACTGACCAACCCTGGTGCCCCGGATATTTTCTTACCCAACAACGATGCTGTTAGCACACCTGACAATTAATACTAATGTCTTGGTGTCATCAACAACCCAGTCAGTAATTACATTTCCCCAATTGCCCCCAACTGATTTGTCACAACTGGAAGCAAAACAAGTTACACACATTACAT